GTAGAGGACTAACGAAAAAGAGGAAGACCCCTCCCCCCCCACCCCAATGAAATGGATTGGTACAGTGGCAGTATCGATGGGCTCAAGTGTACCAATGACTGTGAGGTTGGTGCAGGCCTGGGCAGTGCTATATTCTGTTGTGCATAAGGTCACTATGAGTCGTAATGGACTTGCTGGCACCTAACAACACCAACACCAACAACCATAGAAGCTGGGCCATTTTTCATTTCCACCAGCAATAATGAGGATTCCAGTTTTTCCATATTATCACCCAAACTTGTTAATAACAGTCCAAGTGAATATAAATTGTTATCTCATCATGTTTTAATCCTAGAGCCCTGTATTAGCCTATTAGGCTTTCAAAAACCTCTTCATTATGGGAAATTTTAAGCATATACTATTAAAGAGAATAATATAATAAACTTCTATGTTTACTCAGTTTCAAAAATTATGAGCATATGTTCATCTATATCCTACCTGACCCCTCACTCCACTCTCAAACTCACTGGATTATTTTAAAACAAACCCCAGACTTTATATAATTTCATATGGTTGAAGCTTTATTACCTGAAAATAATATTTCTCTGGTGGTCAAAATTCCTTGCATGGGGTGGTGGTGGTTGTGAGGTCATAGGAACTTCAGACAAGTGAAGCAGGAGCACTGATGGAAACTTACTGGTCACTGCCTTACATTTTCAGAAAATCAAATAAACTCTCATTTTTAAAAACATCAGTTTTGAAGTGTATTTTCTGTTTTTGTGATTGAAAGCATTCCTGTTTTATTTTCTTCATGGCATGTGATGCTACCTAGCATTTTTCTTGTTTACTTATTTGTTATTGAAGAATTATCTGTTTGTTTTTTTCCTAGACTATGTATATACTTCATGATGGGAACACAGTGGCTCTGTAGGATAAGCACTGTAGTTTGAACCACACGGTGTGCTGTTTGATCCCACCAGCTGCTCCATGGAGAAAGATGAGGCTTTTTTGTTCCTGAAAAGATTTACAGCCTCAGAAACACTGGTAGGGTCATTATGAATCAGAATTGACACAACGGCATACAACAATAGCAACAACAACATAGCCTTCTTTCATGTTTACCATTGCATTCCCAGTGCCAGCAACAGCACCCAGGACATAGCAGTCACTCAGTAAATATTTGTTGATTGAGTGAAACAAGGTGTATTATACACTTTAAACAAAAAATTAAAGTGGTTATATCACCCTAATTTGGAGTCCTGGTGTGGCGCTGGGGGTTAATGTGTCAGACTTGCAAAGCCATTTGAACTGCAAGGTCAGTGGTTCAAACTTACCTCAGAAACCCTATACATGGTTGCTACGGGTCAGAACTGACTCAATGGCACTTTACAACAACAACATCACCCTAATTAAGCAATCTTTTTAATGTAAATAAGTTAATCTATAACTCTATTTAAAACTTTTTCTTATGCTTAATAAATAACAACTGAATTAGGGGAGTATTAGAAAGAAGAAACAACTTTACCATTTACTGCTTTCATTTAATCTCTTTATGATTTAAAAGCTAAATTATGATAGTGAGAAAAGCTTATGGGGTTACAGTTATATTTTGTGTTTGATTTACTGCAAACATTTCTTGGATAAAATTATATAGCATAAAATTAACTTTTATTTTACTTTAGTTTTTATGGGTGGAGGGTTGTTGTTGCTAAGTGCCACCCAGTCAGTTCTGACACATAGCAACTGGTGAGCTTGAACCACCAACCTTGAAGTTCAAACAACTTTGCAATGCGACACATTAGCCCATAGTGCCATACCAGGGGGTGAAGGGTAAGAATAAACAATTAAGGTTAGGAGTATGGTTGGGTCTAGGCTAGACCTAGTAGGACTTCATTTACTGTCAGGGGTATGGTTAGGACTAGTGTTAGGGGTAGAGATTGGGCTAGGGCTAGGAGTACGCTTTGGTGTGTTGTTGTTGTTAGGTGCCATAGAGTTGGTAAGGACTCACAGAAACCCTATGCACAACAGAACAAAACATTGCCTGGTCCTGGGCCAACCTCACATCGTTGCTACTCCTGAGCCCAACGCTGCTTCCACTGTGCCAATCCATCTCTTTAGGGGTCTTTCTCTTTTTCGCTGACCTTCCACTTTACCAAACATTATATCTTTTGCCCATGACTGGTTCTCCCTGATAATATGTCCTAAGTATGTGAACCAAAATTTGGTCATCCTGGCTTTCAGGAGCACTCTGACTGTACTTCTTCTAACACAGATCTGTTTATTCTTTTGGCAGTCCATGATACTCAATATTCTCCCCCAACACCATAACTCAAATACATCAATTTTTCTAGAGTCCTTGGTTTAGTTTTAGGAAAATTGACCATTTAAAAATGTACCACTCAGTCACCTTTAGTCCATTTACAATGGTACGAAACCATTGTATACACCTAGTTCTAAAACATTTTCATCACCTCAAAAGAAAATCCTTCCTTCCCTCAATCCCTGGCAACCACCAACCTATTTTCTGTTCCCATAGGTTTACCTACTCTTGATATCATACAAAAATCACACAATATGCTATGGTTTTTTTTTTTTTCACTTAACATAATGTTTTTGAAGTTCTACATTATAACCTGTATTAGTACTTCTTTTTTGTATGGCTGAGTAAAAGTCCATTGTGTGTGTCTATCTATCTATCTATCTATCTATCTATCTATCTATCTATCTATCTATCTATCTATCTATCTATCTATCTATCTCTATATCACAACCTGTTCATTCATGTTTTCCTGGACATTTGGGTTGTTGCCATTTTTTTTGTGAATGCTGCTGCTATGAGCAATTTGTGTTAAAGTGAGTACCTCTTTTTAAGTCTTTCATATATGTTCTTAGCAGTAGAGTTTCTGATTCATAGTTTAAGTCTATGTTTAAGTTTTTGCGTAAGCTTCAAACTGTTTTCCATAGCAGTTGCTCCATTTTACATTCCTTCTAGCAACGTATGAAGATTCTAATTTTCCCACATCTTCACCAACACTTACTATTTCCCCTTTTTTTGAGTATGTCAAAAAAAATGTGGGTGTGAAGTGCCAACCAATTTAAAACATTAAAAAAAAAATAGCAAAGTAAATATTATAAGCCATTTAACATTTCAGCAATTTTTAAATATATAATTCAGTGGCATTAATTATATTTACTATGTTGTGTAACCATCACTAGCATTCATTTCCATATGGCTTCATCACTCTAAAAGTAAATTATTATAATGAAATATTCAAAGACTTGGAGTTAGAAACCAATAGAGAAGAACTCATTTGACATTTCTCAAGCTGAAAGATATGATGAAAATATTCAAGTCGTGAGTTATAGTATTGAAGAATTCTATGGGCAAAATGGACTCCTGTTGTGGTGCTATAGAATAAGCACTGGACTGTTAACCACAAGGTCAGTGGTTCAAATCCACCAGTCACTCCTCAGAAACCCTATATAGGGTTGCTATGAGTCTGGACCAACTTCACAGCACTTAATAACAACAACAACATGAACAAAATATTGAACAATGTAGGAATCATCAAAAGAAAATGAAAAGAATACAGTCATTCTACCAATAAAAATTGGTAGACTTTAAACCTTTCAGGAGGTAGTATATAATCAAGAACCAATGGCATTGAAGGAAGACATTTAAGTTGTACTGAAGTCATTGGTGAAAAACAATAATTCAGGAATTGACAGAATACCAACTGAGATGTTTCAACAAAAGGATGCAAAGCTGGAGGTGCTCACTTGTTTATGCCAAGAAATTTAGAAGACAGCTACCTGGCCAACTGACTGGGTGAGATCCCTACTAGTGCCCATTCCAAAGAAAGGTGATAGATTTCAGAATTTGTCAAAAAACATTATTAATATTACATGCAAGTCATAGTTTGCTGAAGGTAAGTAAAAAAAAATGATTGCAACAGTACACTGACTGGCAGCTGTCAGAAATTCAAACTAGATTTAGAAGACATAGAATGAGGGATGTCATTGCTGTCATCAGATTGACCTTGGCTGAAAGCAAGAATGCCTGTATTTTATTGACTATGCAAAGGCATTTGACTGTGTGGATCATAATATATTATGGGTAACATTGCAAAGAATGAGAATTCCAGAACACTTAATTGTGTTCATGGGGAACCTGTACAAAGACCAAGAAGAAGTCATTTGAACAGAACAAGGGAATACGCAGTTTAAAATCAGAAAAGGTGTGTGTTAAAGTTGCATACTTTTACCATACTTGCTTAATCTGTATGCTGAGTAAATAGTCTGAGAAGCTGAATTACATTAAGAAGAATGTGGCATTGGGTTTGGAGGAAAACTCATTAACAGTATGTGATATGCTAATGACACCATCTTGTTTGCTGAATGTGAAAAGGACTTGAAGCATTTACTGTGGAAAAGCAAAGGCTATAACTTTTAGTACATATTATGCCTCAAAATAAAGAAAACAAAGATGTGGACTGATGAGCAACATCATGATAAACAGAGAAAGATTGAAAACGTCATGGATTTCATTTTACCTGGATCCACTATCAACACCTAGTCAAAGAAGCAGCAGTCAAGAAATCAAATGACTTATTGCACTGGGCAAAGCTGCAAAAGACTTCTTTAAAATGTTAACCACGCCAAGATGTCACTTTGAAGCCTAAAGTTAGCCTTAGTTGTTGTTGTTGTTAAGTGCCATCGAGTCAGTTCCAACCCATAGCGACCCTGAATAGGGTTTCCGAGGCTGTAAATCTTTACGGGAGTAGAAAGCCTCATCTTTCTCCCATGGAGCAGCTGGTAGTTTCGAACTGCTGACCTTGTGGTTCGCAGCCCGATTCATAACCACTACGCTACCAAAGTTAGCCTTAGTAAGTTGTGGTATTTTCAGTTGCCTTATCTGCATACAAATTCTGGACAATAAATAAAAACAGAGTGAATAAGAAGTGGCGCATTTGAATTATGATGTTGGAGAACAATATTGAATATACCATAGGCATACATTTTCAAAACTTATTCTTAGTCCCCGGGCCTCTTATCATTCTCTTTAGGGCCAACTTCACCTCTTGGTTCCGTAGTGTGTAGATAAGGGGGTTGAGGAAAGGAGTGATGGCTGTGGGGAATAGGGCAGCTGCCCCATCCAAGGGGCTGTTAGATTCAGGTCTCAGGTAGATGAAAGCACAGGGCACGTAGTACACGGTGACCACAGTTACATGGGCTCCACAAGTTGAAAAGGCTCGTCGCCGCCCATCAGCTGTACGAATTCTCAGGATGGCTTGAATGATCTGTATGTAGGACAGCAGGATCAGGGAGAAGCAACTGGCAACCACCACCCCAATGTCCACAAAGGTCACCAGCTCATTGACTGTTGTATCTGCACAGGCCAGTCTTAACACCGCAGGGATGTCGCAGAAGAAGTAATCTACCTGGTTGGGCCCACAGTAAGGCAGACGGAATGTTAGGATGGCTTGGAGAGCCCCATGAATGGACCCTGCTACCCAAGCTCCAGCCACAAGTAAGGCACTTAGCTTAGCAGTCATGAGCACAGGGTAGTGCAAAGGCCGGCATATTGCCAAGTACCGGTCATAGGCCATTATAGTGTAGAGGAAGCATTGGGTGCTGCCCAGGAAGTGATAGAAATAGAGTTGGGCCACACAACCACCAAATGGGATGGGTTTGTTGTCTATGGTGAAGTTTATCATGAGACGAGGGACAATGATGGTGGAAATGCCCATGTCAATGATGGAGAGAACACCAAGAAAGATGTACATGGGGCGGGCATGGAGCTGTGAGTCTGTCCAGACAGTGATTAGAATAAGCAGGTTCCCCAGCTGAGTCAGGATGTAGATGAGCAAAAAGAACTCAAAAAGAAATGTTCTTAGTCTGATTGGGTAGGGAATTCCGGTCAGGATGAACTCAGTCAACAATGTGCTGTTGACTCTTTCCATCCCTTGGAGAGATCTTACCTAGAGAATGAACAACGCAGGAGTTAGCATGGAAGTGAGGGTAAAGTGAGAAGGAGCCAGAGAAAGAGACTATGAAGACCTGGGGCAGTGTCAGAGACATTTCTGTCTTACGTGGAGAGAAGACAAGTAACGGAAACTTATATTCTATCACAGTGGCTGGCTATTTTTGTGAATAAAGTCTTATTTGAATACATCCAGGTTTATTCATTTACATGTTGTCCCTGTCTGTTTTGCTGTTATGATGGTAGAGTGTTTGTCCAGCAAAGCTTAAAACATTTACTCTCTGACACTTTTCTGAAACAGTTGGCTGGCTTCCATTTGCATCAAAGTACTCTTTCCAAAAAGTAAGGGTTTCCTAGAAACAGGATGCATTCGTTTCACTGTATGTTTTGCCATTTCAGAAAGTTCCAGAAGCTCATTCCTATCTCTACTATGACAGAAACTTACAGTAAGTGGGGAGTATGCAGAAAGGAACATAGGAAAATACTACCTTTTGGTGTAGGAAGCATGGAACAGAATTTTCATTAAATGACCAGTTGTAAGTGACAGTTGTTGATGCTGCTATACAAATTCTTTCCATGTTCTTTACAATTCAAAGGAAGAGAAAGCCCAGGAGACTTCATGCATTCAAGTGGGGACTAGCAATCACCCTGTATTGTTGTTGATACTATGCATTTCAGTTGCTTTGTATGCAAGAATTTAGCCTAGATTTGTTGTTGCTGTTAAATCGAGTTGGTTCCGACTCATAGTGATCCTGTGTAGGGTTTCCAAGGAGTGGCTGGTGGGTTTGAACCACCACCTTGCAGTTTAAATTGAGTTTGCGGTTCAGTGCTTACTCTATAGCACCTTGAGATGTGGTAAAGGAAGAAAGGAAAAGAGGAAGAAAAGAGGGATGGCCACTGTGAGAAAGAAGTCAGAGATCAAAGAAACACTCTTATCCTGATTGGACCCCTGGTTACTTGTTGGGCTGCTTGGTTGCAATTTCAGTAGTTGAAGTTACCAGCAGCTTAGAGGGAGAAAGATGAGGCATCCTGCTCCACTATAGATTTACAGCCTTGGAAACTCTGCATGGAGCCATTATAAGCCGGAACTGGCTTGACAGCACACTGCCACCATCACCACTTTAGCCTGGTTGGGTAGGGAACAAGAATGACTAGAGAAGATAAGACAAAATGGTTTTCAGTGTGTAAGTTATCTTAAGTTCTTAGTCCAACCCCTTGATCAACATTTCCCCATCAGAAGAAGAGGATTTGATTTAATGAGCTTTAAAAATCCTCTCTATTTCTGTGATTCTGGGCTTTAGGTGGCATGTCAAAGAAATTGAAATGGTTTAATTTCACTTTAGAATATTTCATGTCCACTAAGAAGCAGGAGCTTGAGATATATCAGGAGCTACATTGTACAGGGTACCTTTCTGACTTGGGTCAAGAGACTACAAATAGCAGGAAAAAGGAAACTTTTGTGGAGGAGTAAAACACCATGGCTGAAAAGTCCAAATGTGAATACTATAATAGATATTGGTCATCTGGGTTTTGATATATTCACTGAGACCATGAGGTAGGGAAATAAAACATTGACCCCCAACTCTGGCAAACAGTGAAGAATAATGAGTAACTGTACGCAATAATCTTGATACTAAACACTTAATTTTACCCCATTGTATTCATGCTCTATCCAAATTTGTTGTTGTTGTTAGGTGCCACCAAGGCGGTACCGACTCATAGAAACATTACGCACAACAGAATGAAACACTGCCCAGTCCTGCACCAACCTCACAATCGTTGCTACCCCTAAGCCCATCACTGCCACCACAGTGCCAATCTCTCTTTGGGGGGCTTCCTCTTTTTTTCCTCTACTTTAAAGCTTAATCCTCATGATTTAATAAATTCTGTTATGGCAGTTCAAAAAGAAGCAGCAAATCTTCCGATCCCACTTCATGCGATCCTCATCCAGGTAATTACTCAGCAATTTTGATTTTTTTAGACACTGATTTTTTTTTTTTTAGATATTGAAATATCACAGAAAAATAGTAATACTTGAACTTCAAAAACTTGACCAGAGTTCTTCCAGATGCTGGGGACTGTAGACATTATAGACCTTCTCCTGCTTCCAATTTAAGGATGAGCAGAGGATTTAAGAACACACACAAGTTCCCCAAGAAATTCAGGATCATGCCGAGTAGCAGTCTTGGCCTGAATGAGCTCAGGTTGGTACTCTGATCTGGGTGTCAAGGGATACTGATATTTTCTGGGGTCTCAAAGATCTGATGTTTAACTCTGCAGATTTAGCAGCCTGATTTGGTCAGGTCTCTCTGGAGAAATTAGGCTCTGGGAAATCAATGACACTAGTCAAATACCTGAGAGGATGATATATAACAAGCAATTTAATTTACAATGGGACATCTCTTTTCTGGGACTGCAAGGGTGTGTCTACTACTTATGACACCCACTTACTGATGCCATAAAATCCAAAACCATTGTCCCTGAGTCCATAACATTTACAGCAACACTATCTATATGAGCAGACAGCCTCATCTTTCTCCCAGGGAGCCTATGATCTTGTGATTAGCAGTACAGGGCTTATTTTACAGTGCCACCAAGGTCCTGGGAAATAAAATTAGGAATCAGATGAATAGTCTGAGTTTTGAATCAGAGCAAAGAGGATTTGGTGGGACACACTTAATTTAGGTCACTATAGGTCTTGATGAATTATACCTGGTAAATTACACAGCATCTTCAACTAAGAGAACACTTGAATCTTCCTTTCAGATACAATATAGGTACAACTCAGAGATATTGATGGTTTAGTCTCAGCCCACCACAATAAAGCGAATACTGTAATAAAGGGAGTCACAAGAATTCTTTGATTTCCCAGTGCATATAAAAGCTTGTTTATACTATACTGTAGTCCATTAAGTATGAAATACCATTTTATAAAAGCTTGAAACATTGTGAGAATTACCAAAATGTGACTCAGAAACATGATGTGAGCACATGTGGTTGAAAAAATGTCAGTGATTGACCAGCAGGGTTGCCACAAACCTTTAATTTGTTTAAAAAACAAACGAACCCCTCAAATCAAGCAAACCAATATCTGCAAAACACGATAATATGTGCAATAAAAGTGCAATGAAATGAGGCATGCTGGTGGTTTTCTCTCTTTGGTAGTGGGACTACGTTGGCAAAGTTTTACTCTTTAATTATTTCTTCCTCGGTCTATATCATGGGAGAAAGATGAGGCAGTGTGCTTTCCTAAAGATTTATGACCTTGGAAATCCTACGCGGGCAGTTCTACTTTGTCGTACAAAGTTGTGATGAGTCAGAATTGACTTGGTGGCAATGAGTTTGGTTTTAATTTTGGGGTGTATATCCCTTTTCGATTTCCTTTGTTATCTCCAATGGCTCTCGTAACATGATTTTACAAATTTGATGGTGCAGTCTGTAGAAGATTCTAAACTAATGTTGCTGTTCAGTTTCAAAATCCAGATGTGTAGAATTAAATGTGAATTCTAAAATCATACTAAAGTCAAACTTGGTTGCCACAAATCTGTAAGGTTGTCCAATTTCTTTCATTGTCTGATATTACATTATAGACTATTTAGAATTTCTTGAAAAAGTAGACTTGTTGGGGCTCAGTTGTATTTTCATTTTACAGAGACTTAGACTGTGAAAATATTTATGCAATGTGTTTTTTTGAATTATGATCTGATAAATACAAAAGGTCATCTAGTACAAGCATGTTTAAAAAAGAACATCAGAATCACAAGTGGATCACAAACTAATGTATAAATCTATACAGTATTCAGAGTCCTGATGGGGTGCTATAGGAGCAGCATTGAACTGCTAACTGAAAGGTTCAAATGCACCAGCTCCTCTTCCGAAACCCTATACAAGGTCACTGTGAGTCAGAATCAACTCAACAGCACTTAACAACAACTGTGTATATAAATCTATAAAGTTGATCATTAAACACTTATCATTAAGATTACCTAGGGGATTAGGTACGTTTTCTAATGAGGTAAAGGACACTGATTTGCCCAGGGTATTAGACACCTATTTTAATGAGGCAAACAACATAGGCTTAACCCCATTTCAGCAGGTTGGTTTAGCTTAATTCAGATCCTAAACTATATTCATCCATGCCTCACTTGGCTGCGGAGAAAACTTAAAAACATGATCATTACTTTAAAAAAATTTTTTTTATGATCATTACTTTTTGAAAATTAACTTAACCATACTTTCTTTTCTTTATTTGTAAAGAATATTGAGAAAGCTAATATAATCTTTCTACTCCCGTAAAGATTTACACCTTCGGAAACCCTGTAGAGGGTCGCTATGGGTCGGAACCGACTCGATGGCACTTAACAACAACAACAATATAATCTATTATCATTCTCTGAAGTTTATAATAAGACATGGAAAATTGAAGATCTTCTAAAGAGGAATGAATATATATACATAGATATATTTTCATGTCATTGTGTGTATATATATGTATGTTGTTGTTGTTAAGTGCCGGTGAGTCAGTTCCGACCCATAGCAACCCTGTATAGGGTTTCCAAGGAACAGCTGGTGAGTTTGAACCATGAACCTTGTGGCTCAATATATATATATATATATAGAGAGAGAGAGAGAGAGAGAGAGAGAGAGACCTGGTGTGGCGCTGTGTGTTATTGCACCAGACTGCAAAGCCGTTTGAACTGCAAGGTTGGTGGCTCAAGCCACCAACTTGACAGCACTTCACAACAACATATATATAAAATGATGTGAAAAAAATTGAGTTACCAAGTCTAAGAAATGATCTAAAACCCTATTAGCAATGACTTGAATTGCTTGTTTAGAACACTCACTAACATAGAAGTCAGACTAGAGCCTAATTCACAGCAATTCCTCAAATTTTGGGCAGAGAACCTATCTTATAAGTAGGGGAAGGGACTTGGCATGGACTATATGTGGTGGTGGCGGAGGTGTGCCATGGAGTCG